GTGAGACTACATTGAAACTCACCAGGATATCATTAGTATTCATCTTGATTTTTGTGATCTTATTCACGAAATCCGTTGAATTCTTGATATGGGAATTATTCAGACCAGTAAGTTTCTGGAGGGGTTTGGTGAGATAGCGGGTTAACTGGTAGGTAGGTCCCCCAATATTGCTGACAATAGGGCGTAAGGAATGGTGATAGGTCTTGCTCGCTAAGATTCTTCACTGTATGTGTGAGAACTGGCATTTGAGTCTATAGATGCAGGTCTCCCTCTTCAAACTATCAAGTATTTAACCCCTCAAGATTCTTCAGCACCTAGACTCTACGGTCTTCCAAAAATCCACAAGAAATCAGTGCCCTTACGCCCTATTGTCAGCAATGTTGGGGGACCTACCTACCAGTTAGTCCGCTATCTCACTAAACCCCTCCAGAAACTTACTGGTCTGAATAATTCCCGTATCAAGAATTCAACGGATTTCGTGAATAAGATCACAAAAATCAAGATGAATACTAATGATATCCTGGTGAGTTTCAATGTAGTCTCACAGTTTACTAATGTTCCAGTTCAGGATACTTTGAACATCATCAAGAATTCCGAGGAAATTCCTGCCAACCTCTTCCCACTAATAGAACACTGCTTAACTTCAACTTATTTTCAGTTCCAAGGAGAGTTTTTCGAACAAACCTCTGGAGCGGCGATGGGATCTCCTATATCTCCTATCATTGCAAACATCTTTATGGAACATTTTGAGAATGAAGTTTTGAGGAGCAAGCACCACTGAAACCATCCACATGGTTTCGGTATGTGGACGATACTTTCGTAATTTGGAATCATGGCAGGGAAACTCTTTCTCAGTTTCTCGGGTTTCTCAATTCACAACATCCCAGTATTCAGTTCACAATGGAAGTGGAACAAAATAATCAAATACCCTTTCTGGATGTGCTAGTCCAAAAGAACCAAGATGGCACCTTAGGTCACCAGGTCTACCGAAAACCAACACACACGGACCGATATCTACATGCAACCTCTCATCATCATCCCTCGCAAAAGAATTCTGTCATAAGTTCATTGGTTTACAGAGCGCTCACAATTTCGGAACCATCTTCTCTGAATGGAGAACTAGAACACCTCAGTACAGCCTTAACTAAAAATGGATACAACAGCAAAAACATCTCGCAAATAATAAAAAACCAGAAGAACAGAATTGTCAGTCCTAAAAACACTGACACACTAGATGAAGAGAGAGAAAAGAGAAAAACGGCTGTCCTTCCATATCTCCAGGGCATAACAGAACCTATCAGCAGGATTTTGGGTAAACACAAAATCAAAGTAATCTTCAAACCCCATAGGAAGCTCTCCCATTTACTCCCAAATCCGAAGGATCAGAAATCATGCCTAGAAACATCAGATGTATATAAGATCCCTTGCTCTTGTAGTAAAGTTTATATAGGAGAAAGATCAGTACGCGAATCAAGGAACACTAGCGATGTACCAAATATGGTCACTTTACTCAATCAGCCCTAGCTGAACACTGGATGGAGACTGGACACTCCGTACAATATGACAAAGCCACCAGATTGGCTCCCTCACAGAGATATTTTGCCAGAAAACATCGTGAAGGTCTAGAAATTTTAAAACATCCCAACAACCTCAACCGAGACAAAGGTATGCAAGTAAACTCTATTTGCTCTCCCGGTTTTTTAAATTGACCAGCTGATCAATTAAAATACGCTGATTGGCTGGATTCAAGCCTCGTCCCTTACTCCCTAATACCATCTACACAAAAGGGGGGAGGGGGGCATATAAGGACTACCTTTTACCCAAGGGAGCTCAGTATCAGAGTTCTCAGCCCTGATGATGCAAACTGCAACGTTTACGAAACGTCGGCATATCGCTGATTCAATACACGGCTACATTCCGGAAGCTATACCTAGACATTGTATCAATGGCCGTGAAAGCCTCAAATTTAGTATAATTTTACATATTTTAACCGTTTTTTTTTCATTTTTTATTTCTTAATATTTTGATTTTTTCAAAGTTTTAATATTTTATTTGCAAAAAATAAAATATAAAATATACGAGTAAAATGTTTTGAATGTGTTACAGATGTCAACAATTTTCAACATTTCGCCTTACGTAAACTCATAAATTTAGATATAAAAATGGGCCGACTTGAGAATAATATAAACACAGTGAAGAAATTTACAAAGACTATTTTGCAAAACCTTGACATTTCGTGCATTAATACAGACAATAAAGAAAATATTAATGTTTTTGATGATTTGCCATTAAAAGACAAAAATGAGTTAGATGTAATGGAAAAAAGATTAAAAGATGATTTAGGGTATCGAAAGAAAATGGTAAGGCTATATTATATGACAAATTTTTAGAAAGACCATTTATGATTTTTATTCAGGTCAATAAATAATTAATTTTAATTTTAAATAATTGTAGGAAAAGCAGTTGACCCATATAACGTGCGAAAATTTTAAAACTTCTTTCATACGATTGATAAGAGCAATATTATGAAACAAAGTAGCAATAAAATATAGTTGGTATGGAGCAAAGAAAAAAGAAGTCTTTTTAAAATTGGAAATATGTACAGTCATTATGATTAAGTTAAATTTAAAAAACAATCTTCATTTGTTTTTATTAAATAGTACTATATTATTTCTTTACAAATTAACACTCGTAAATATGTAACGTTTATTTCTTCAATGAATTAAAAATGTCTACAATTATTAATATTGTTAAATTATGTCATTTGTACATATGAAAAATAATGCATATAAAAAATTGTCACTTAATAAAAAAGGAAGGATCCCATCAGCACACGGTGCGATAGCATACATATATTTACATCGTCTAGTACTTAGGATCTTTCCGCTAAACCATCAATTAGAAAATAGTATATTAAATTAGCTAACTACCGATGTGAACTATCGAAATCGATTTTTAAAAATTATATAGATATTTGTATATTACTTTGTTAAAAAATAAAGATGTATTGAAAAAAAAAATTTTTTTTCCAGATGTGATGCGAAAGTTATACACTGATGCAGCTAACGAAGATATTGCAGGCCCTATCAAAATATTGTTGGCTTATGCCAAAGAGCGCATAAAGAGACAGAGCCATAAAGAAATTGAAAATACACATTAATATGTCTTTTAAGTTTTTGTTGTTCAATTTGTATTTCATTTTATTTTTTAGTTTATTTTATATGTATTTCAACAAAGAACAAGTGTTTGTGAGATCTTCCCATTGTTTGTATTACATACATAAATTTAAGTTTTTCTTCAATTTGTATTTCATTTTATTTTTTAGTTTATTTTGAAATGAAAAAATAAAATGAAATACAAATTAAGCAAAAACTTAAATTTATATATGTAATGCAAACAATGGGAAGATCTTACAAATAAAAATTTTTGTTTCAACAGAGAAAAAGTACTTGTAAGATCTTCCCATTGTTTGCACTACATATGCAAATTTTTCTTTTCTTGGAAGATTATATTCCGAATTTTCATCAAAAATTTAATATGCAGTATGTGCTTGTAATATGTTACATAATATAATAAAAACATTTATAAAATTTAAGAAAAAAAGTTATTTAACCTAATGTAATCTAGGCAATACACACACACACACACACATACACATATAATATAGTATATGTGCATGATATACCGGTATATCACAAAAATATAATAATAACATTCTGTAGATATTCTTAATATATACTACAGAATATTCTTAATATGTACTACGAATCACTGTAGGGCGGAAATAAGAACTTACTATATACTCAGTATATCTTAGTACGTATATCGAATGTTCCGAGAATATTAATAACACAGGTCTACAAAAAAAAATTTTCAAAAATTTACTCGGACCGGAGTAGGTTTCCGGTATGTATTTTGAGCCCCTGAATCCGAATCCAGGTCCCGTTTTGCTCCATCACCCTAGGTTTTTTCAAAAATGGCGGATTCAATATGGCGCATGTAGCGTATTTTACTGTTTTCCAACGGATCATTTTAAAACTTCTAACATAAAGGTTTTTGGACTCACTGATTACGAAATTAACATTAGAATTCCGAAATTCAAGATGGCGGATGCAATATGGCGGACCATAGTAGTAAATTCTGATTTTTTAAGAGATCGTCTTGAAACTTCAACCGTGGGATTTTCGGAAAACAATAAAACGCAAGTGAGAGGATTCTATCGATAAGAAAACACATGAATCCACTAGAGTCATAAAGGAAAGAGTTCTTTAATTTCAAATTTACGGAACTTCAATATTTTGAAATGGATTTTGCGTTACCCATCCTGAACCACGTGGAGGTACCATTTCTATCAGGACTAACCCGCTTATAACGGGGGCACCAATGCCAAGTAAAAAATGGACTTTATTCTGTTTTTGAATAACGAATTTTTTTCATTTCGAATGATCTACGAATCGATCTTCTCTTATGCGATTTTCTCGTATCGCGTTTTAAACACCAGCAGTAATCTGCCATCATATGGTCATCCCAAATCCCCTGATATCTTTTCTCCATGGCCTTGATATCTTGGTGAAATCTTTCTTCCTGCTCCTCACTAAAATGACCAAGATTCTCAGGGAAGTAAT